GAGTCATCGAATATCTCCCTGCACTCAGGACACTGGTAGGAGACGTCAACATGGGTCAGGCGGTGAGTTTGGAGCGAGGAAGAGTCATCGAAGATCTCTCTGCACTCAGGACACTGGTAGGAGGTGTCTATGTGGGTCAGGCGGTGAGTTTGGAGCGAGGGTGAGTCATCGAATATCTCCCTGCACTCAGGACATTGGTAGGAAGTGTCTATGTGGGTCAGGCGGTGGGTTTGGAGCGAGGATGAGTCACCAAAGATCTCTCTGCACTCAGGACACTGGTAGGAGGTGTCTATGTGGGTAAGGCAATGGGCTTGGAGCGAGGAAGAGTCATCGAAGATCTCTCTGCACTCGGGACATTGGTAGGAGGTGTCTATGTGGGTCAGGCGGTGGGTTTGGAGCGAGGATGAGTCATCGAATATCTCCCTGCACTCAGGACACTGGTAGGAGGTGTCTTCGTGGATCGATCGATGCGTTTGGAGTGAAGAAGAGTCGCTGAAGATCTCCCCGCACTCAGGGCACTGGTAGGAGCTGTCTTCGTGGACGAACCGGTGAGCGTGGAGTGAGGACGGGTCGCTGAACGCCTGGTCGCACTCGGGGCACCGGTAGGGTCGTCCCCGGTGGGCGGCCCGGTGAGCCTGGAGCGAGGGCGGGTCTTCGAGGATCTCCCCGCACTCGGGGCACTGGCACGATGGCTCGAGGTGGAGTGAGCGGTGTGCACGCAGCCCCAGTGAGTCGGCGAAGCCCTCGCCGCACACCCTGCACTCAAAGCGCGTTGCCACATGGATCACCGGGTCGGGGGACACGGGGCGCTCGGCCGCCGGAGCGGGAGGAGGAGGTGGCTGAGGCGAGGAGGAGGAGGCGGGTCGGGCATAGCCGGGGTGCTGGGCAGCTCGGTGGGCGCGCAGGAGAGCTGAGGAGATAAAGCCCTCGCCGCACAGGGTGCAGCGGAAGGGGCGCTCGCCCAGGTGGACCCTCTGGTGGCGCCGCAAGTTGTCCAGCCGGTTATAGCTCTTGGGGCACGCGTCGCAGCGGTAGGATTTCTGGCCAGTGTGGACAGCCTGGTGGGCGCACAGGGAGGCCGCCTTGCTGAAGCTGCGGCCGCAGATGGCACAGGCGAAAGGTCGCTGCCCGGTATGCACGTAGCTGTGCACCAGCAGCTCGGCCGGCTCGGCGAACGTCTCCCCGCAGGCTTCGCAGCGGTGACCGCCCTGCCTTTCCTCGTGGCCCAGGCGGTGCGCCTTGAGGGCCGATGGCTCGGCAAAGGACTCTCCGCACATGTCGCACCCGTAGGAGGGCTCCTCGTGGCTCGCCTGGTGCGCCCGGAGGGCCGCGGGCTCGGCAAAGGACTCTCCGCACACGTCGCACCCGTAGGAGGGCTCCTCGTGGCTCGCCCGGTGCGCCCGGAGGGCCGCGGGCTCGGCAAAGGACTCTCCGCACACGTCGCACCCGTAGGAAGGCTCCTCGTGGCTCGCCCGGTGCGCCCGGAGGGCCGCGGGCTCGGCAAAGGACTCTCCGCACACGTCGCACCCGTAGGAGGGCTCCTCGTGGGTCGCCCGGTGCGCCTGGAGGGCCGCGGGCTCGGCAAAGGACTCTCCGCACACGTCGCACTGGAAGGCAGGCTGGAGTCGGGTGGCCGGCTCCTCCTGGGAAGCCTTAGCCGCTACGGTGATTGTCGCCCTCCTCCTCCTCCGCCTCCTGCCCCCTCCGTCCTGGGCCGGCTGGAGGCCACTCTGGTGGGATCGCTGATGCCGCCGGAGGTTATCGAGCCGATTGTAACTGCTGCCGCATGCCTGGCACCGGTAGGGTTTTTGCCCAGTGTGGATGGACTGGTGAGCAAGCAGGGAGCTCGATGCGCCGAACCCCTTGTGGCAGACGGCGCACCGGAAGGGTTTCTCGCCGGTGTGCAGAGCCTGGTGTGCCAGGAAGGTGGAGAACAGGTTGAACGACTTCTGGCACAGCGGGCAGTGCAACCCCTTGCGGGGCCGGCCGTGGCAGCGCCGGTGCCTCCTGAGGTTCTCCGGCTGGTTGTAGCTCTTGCCGCAGTCCCCGCAGCGGTGCGGCCGCTCTCCCCCACCTCCGCCGCTGGCTAACGCCGCGCGCGGGCACCGGTGCAGGGCCAGCTTGGCCGACCGGGCATAACCCCGCGCGCACACCGGGCACCGGAACGGCTTGTCGGCGGAGTGGGTGCGCTGGTGAGCCAGCAGGCGGTCGGGGTCGGTGAACGCCCTCCCGCACACTGGGCAGACGTGCGGGCGCTCCACCAGGTGCGAACGCTGGTGCCGCCGGAGGTTGTCCAAGCGGTTGTAGGACCTGCCGCACGCCTGGCACCGGAAGGGCTTCTCACCGGTGTGGATGCACTGGTGGGCCAGGAGCTTGCACGACTGGGAGAACACTTTGCCACAGACGTCACACCTGCCCAGGGCACGGAGGGAGGGGGAGAGAGGGAGAGAGAGGGAGAGAGAGGGAGAGGGAGAGAGGGGGAGAGAGGGAGAGGGAGGGAGAGAGAGAGAGGGAGAGAAAGAGATAGGGGGAGAGAAGGAGAGGGAGGGGGAGAGAGAGAGGGAGAGAAAGAGAAAGAGAGAGTGAGAGGGGGAGAGAGAGAGAGGGAGGGAGGAGGAGACAGAGACGGGGAGAGAAGGATAGGGAGGGAAAGAGAGAGGGAGAGAAAGAGATAGGGGAGAGGAGGAGAGGGAGGGAGAGAGAGAGTGAGAGTGAGAGCGGGAGAGAGAGAGAGGGAGGGAGAGAGAGAGAGACAGAGATAAGTAAATAATCCCACCGACAGCTAGTCACAGACACAACACACCAACGCACAAAGACAGACTCAATCCCCTTGCAGAGCACAGAAACAGACCCTTCGCATCCCCCTCTCCCCCATTCCCAAGCCAAACTGGTCCCATTTGCCAGCATTTGGCCCATATCCCTGTAAAGCTATCCTATCCTGTCCAACGTCTTTTAAATGTTGTATTTGCCCCAGCCTCCATCATCGAGCTGTACAGCACAAAAGCAGACCCCCATCCGTGCCGACCCAGATATCCTAAATTAATCCTAGTCTCATTTGCCAGCTTTTGGCCCCTATCCCTCTAAACCCTTCCTGACCACGTACCCATCCAGATGCCTTTTAAATGTTGTAAGTGTACCAGCCCCCCACCCACTTCCCCTGGCAGCTTGTCCAATACACGCACCACCCTCTGCGTGAAAAAGTTGCCCCTCAGGTCCCTTTTAAATCTTTCCTTTTACACTTTAAACCCATGACCCTCTCGTTTGGGACTCCCCGCTACCCCTGGGGAAAAATGCCTAGGAGGCTGAGAGGTGACCTTATAACAGTCTATAAAATTGCAAGAGGTATAGATACGGTGGATAGCAGACAGCTTTTCCCCATGGTCGGGGAGTCTAAAAGTAGAGGGAGTAGGTCTAAGGTGAGAGGGGAAGAGATACAAAAGGGTCCAGAGGGGGCAGTTTCTTTCACCCAGAGGGTGGTGAGTGTCTGGACGGGGTCTGCCAGAGGTAGTGAGGGCACAGCGGTTACAATTTTGTCATTTAAGAAACATTTTGGCAGGTACATGGATGACCAGAACTGTACGGAGTACTCCAGAATGAAAACCGAAAGAATTGCGGATGCCGTAAATCAGGAACAAAAACAGAAGTTGCTGGAAAAGCTCAGCAGGTCTGGCAGCATCTGTGAAGGGGGAAAAAAAAACAAAGTTAACGTTTCAGGTCCGGTGACCCTTCCTCAGAACTGGAGTTGAACTTTTCTGGCAACTTTATTATTGTTCCAGAGTGCTCCAGAAGTGGGTGGTACAGTGGGTTAGCGCTGTTGCCTCACAGCGCCAGGGACCTGCGTTCAATTCCCACCCTCTAGCAACTGTCTGACTGTGCAGAGTTTGCACATTCTCCCCCTGCATCTGCTGGGTTTCCTCTGGTTCCCTCTCACGGTGCAAGGTTAGGTAGATTGGCTGTGCTAAATTGCCCTGTCATGTGCAGGCTAGGTGGATTAGCCCCGGGAGATTCAGGATTACAGGGAATAGGGTAGGGGTGTGAGTCTGGCTGGGATGCTCTTTGGAGGGTCAGTGTGCTCTCGAATGGGCCAAGTGGCCTGCTTCCACACTGTGGGGGATCTTATGAAAAGATTTGATTTGATTTATTACTGTCACAAGTACCTAGATATAGAGAAAAGGCTTGTACCATACAGAGGGCATCAGGGTGACAGAGCAGAGCGAGGAACACAATGCTACGGCTGCAGAGAAGGTGAGCAGAGAGTGAGATCCACATTAAATTTAAACAATTTGAGGGGTCCGTTCGGAAGTCTGATGACAGCGGGGAAGAAGCTGTTCTTGAATCTGTTGGTACACGTGTTTAAGCTTTTGTATCTTCTGGCTGATGGAAGAGATTATAACTGGAGTGTGAGGGGTCTTTGCTGATATTGGACATCGAGAAGTAGAGACGGAGACCGTGGATGGAAGATTAGTTTGCCTGATGGACCGGGCTGTGTTCCCAACTCTCTGTAGTTTCTCACGGCCCTGGGCAGAGCAGTTGCCGTGCCCAGCCGTGGTGCATTCGGATAGAACGCTGGAATCGAACCCGGCTCCCTGGTGCTGTGAGGCAGCAGTGCTAACCACTGAGCCTCTCGCACAAAGCGAGTGGGCAGCAAACAAACGCAAGATTATCCACTTTGAAAACAGGAACAGGAAGACAGATTACTGTCGGAACAGCCGTAGATTGAGAGAGGGGAACGTGCAGAGGGACCTGGGTGCAGGCAGGGAAGAATGCAGCAAACAGTACGTTGGCTGTCATCGTGAGAGGATTCGAGTACAGGAGCAGGGACGTCCCGCTGGAATTGTACAGTGTGTGCACTTCCTGGTCTCTTTATCCGAGGAGGGATATTCTGGCTATGGAGAGAGGGCAGCGGAGGTTCAGCAGATGGATTCCTGGGACGGCAGGATGCAGCACGATGGTTCGGTTAGGATTATATTCAGTTTTACGCTGGGGTTATTTTGCAGTTTCGGACTCCAGTGCATCGCTGTCAAACTCAAACGAAATTCTCGTGCATTATGGTCAGCCTTCCCCACAAGCTCCCTTCCTAGCACACTGAACGCTGTCTCAATGCCCCCTACAGCTTGCTTCCATAACATCAATAACGCATTTGACGCACCCCTCAGACTGTGATGAGCAGTAGAGACAGGAGCAGAAGCTGGCCATTCAGCCCATCTGCCCCGCTGTCCAATCAGATCGCGGCTGATCCAATCACCCTCAGCTCCACTTTCCTGTCAGTCTTTCCCCCCCCCCCCCCCCACAACCCTCGATTCCCCTCCCTGAATAAGAAACCTCTCCACCTCAGCCTTGAGCGACCCAGCCCTCTGAATTTAACAGATTCACTCCCCATGTAGGGAAGAAATTCCTCCCCATCTCCGTCTCCAATGGGCGACCCCTTCATTCTGAGGTGATGCACCTCTGGTCCTCTCTCTCTCTTTCTGCGCCTACCCTGTCAAGACCGTCCTAGGAATCTTGTATCTTTCGACAAAGTCGCCTCTCGTTCTTCCAAACTCCAACGAGGACAGGCTAAGCCTACTCAATGTCTCCTCTGTAAGACAGTCCCTCCAGCGAACCTTCCTTGGGCTGCCTCTTTTGGTGGTCTATCCTTACTTGGATACAAGGTGCCAGAACCGTTCCCTGTATTTCCAGCTGCAGTCTGACTAATACCTCGCACCATTTCAGCGAAAGCCCCTCAACTTTTGTACCCCATTCCCTTCGAAAAAACAGGCCCTAGCCTTCCCACTGGATTGGGATGCTCAGCTTTTTGAGATTCACGCACAAAGGTACAGCACCGCCCCCCTCCACCCACCCCCAGCCGTGAGCTGCAGCGCTCTGCAATTTTACTCCATTGATCCCTGATCTTTGCCAATTTTGATTAACTGGTGACATTACCATGGTTATAACTCCGATTTTGTGCTTCAACTCTTTCTTTCTGGAAGAGGAGCTGCAGCGTTATGCAGTCATACAGCACGGAAACAGACCCTTCAGTCCAACTTGTCCCTGCTGACCGCATATTCTAAATTAAATCTAGCCCCAGCATTTGGTCCATATATATCTCTCTAAACCTTTCTTATTCATGTACCCATCCAGATTTCTTTCAAGTGTTCTAATTGTACCAGCCTCCACCGCTTCCAGCTCATTCCAGACACGCATCACCCTCTGCTTGAGAAAGTTGCCCCTCAGGTCCCTTTTAAATTCTTCCCCTCTCACCTTAAACCTATGCCCCTCTAGTTTTGGACTCCCCCCTACCCTGGGGGAAAAGACCTCAGCTATTCACCCGATCCATGCCCCTCATGATTTTATAAATCTCTATAAGGTCACCCCCTCAGCCTCCGATGCTCCAGGGGAAAATAGCCCCCAGCCTCTCCCTGTTGCTCAAACCCTCCAACATCCTTGTAAGTCTTTTCCGAATCCTTTTAAGTTTCCCAACATCCTTCCTGTAGCAGGGAGACCAGAATTGAACACAGTATTCCAGAAGCGGCCCTAACCAATGTCCTGTACAGCCCCCGACACGACTCTCCCGACTCCTGTACCCAACGCACTGACCAATAAAGGCAAGCGTACCAAATACCTTCTTCACCGCCCTGCCTACCTGCAATTTGACTTTCAAGGAACGATGAACCTGCACCCCAGGTCTCTCTGTTCAGCAAACTCCCCAGGCCCTTACCGTTAAGTATATAAGTCCTGCCCTGATGTGCCTTTTCAAAATGCAGCACCTCACATGTATCTGAACTAAACTCCATCTGTCACCCCTCAGCCCATCTGATCGAGGTCCCGTTGTACTCTTACGGAACCCCCTTCGCTGTCCACAACAGCTCCAATTTTGGTGTCATCTGCAAACTTACTAATCATACCTCCTACATTCACATCCAAACCATTTCTATAAATGATGAAAAGCAGTGGACCCAGCTCCGATGCTTGTGGCACATCACTGGTCACAGGTCTCCAGTCTGAAAAACAACCCTCCACCACCCACCCTCTGTCTCCTACCTTCGAGGCAGTTCTGTATCCAAATGGCTAGCTCTCCCTGCATTCCACGTGATCTAGCCTTGCTAACCAGTCCACCATGGGGAAACTTTTGAACACCTGACTGAACCTGCTCCCACCAGCTGTCTATAAAACTCGTTCTTGACCACACCTCCTTATCTTCTGAGATTAATGCCCTTGACGATCAAGTGTACCCAATCTCACCACTAAGGCTCACAGAGCCATCCCTTCTCATTCACGGGATGAGGTCCCCAATTGCCCAGAGGGCAGTCTAAGAGTCGACCGCATTGGCTGTGGGAGTGGAGTCACGTGTAGGGCAGATCGGGTAAGGATGGCAGCTTCCTTCCCCAAAGGGCATTCACGAACCAGACGGGGTTTTTTTGAATAATCGACAGCACACTCTTAATTCCAGGTTTTTATTGAATTCGAATTCCACCATCTGCTGTGGCAGGATCGGAACCCAGGTTCCCCAGGATGTTACCTGGGATTCTGGATTAGTCATGGAGCGATGCTACCATGCCTCCCCCAGTATATGTATAATATCTCTCTCTCGGTCTCCCACTCTGTGTAATGTTGGGTGGTACAAAAATTTAGCTCAGCACGCTGACTGGAAGCGACAGATATTCGGATATGCGGCCCTATTCTCAGCGTGCAGCAAAGACAGGACCAAGCAGGGGCCATCAGGATAAGGGAGGGTGACCTCGACAGATTCACCAGACTTCACCCTTGTCCTCACGCAACATGTTATACCCCATGTGGAGCCCTGGGCAGCCATCATGGGCCCTCCCCACCCCACCACCACCTCATTTAAAGGAAACGCAGACATTTCAAATTGTTCGATCCCCGAGTTGAGAGGTGCTCCCACTGACATATATTGGATTCTATCAATGGTGGGGGGGGGGTGCTTGGCAATGGCCTGGCCGTCAGTATCGCTGCACTGTTTCTCCAGAGACCCAGGGAATGTTCTGGGGTCCCCGGTTCTGAATCCCGCCACGGGCAGACGGTGGAATTTGAAATCAATGATATTAAAAAAAAAAACAAAATCTCGAAATAAAGAGCCGAATAACAACCCCAATGGTGGACAAATCCCATATCCTAATGCTCTTCAGGGACGGGAAATCTCATCTGGCCTGTCCCACAGCGGTGTAGTTGACTCTTATCTGCCTGATGGGCAATGAATGCTGGTCTAGCCAGCATCGCCCTCATCCTGCGAATGAGTTTAAACAAAAATTCTTCAGGGGCTTGCCAGGGTCAATGCTCAGTGGATGTTTTTCCTTGTGCAAGAGTCAAGGACTGGAGGGATAATCTCGGAATAAATTTAAGACTGAAACGAAGAGGAATTTCCACTCTCACAGGGCTCTGAGTCTTTGGAACTCCTTGCCACAAATGGCAGTGTTGTGTGTGTGTGCGGTGTGTGTGTGTGTGTGTGTGTGTGTGTGTGTGTGTGGGAGCGCGTGTGTGTGTGTGTGTGTGTGTGTGTGTGTGGCAGCACGTGTGTGTGTGTGGCAGCGCGTGTGCGGTGTGTGCGCGGTGGTGGCCGACTGCTCGTGGGTTTGGAGGGCTGAGGCAGATTCTCGATCGGACAGGGAGTTGGTGGGTGGGGGATTATGGGAGGGGAAGGTGGGTGCGAGGAGTGTTTCCGATCAGCCGCGAACCCCCCCCCACCGAGTGAAGGGGAAGGCAGAGAAGGAGGCATCCGGTTTCCCTGGCGTTCTCGCGACGGTGTCCTGAAGGGGGGGGGAATGTTTGGGTACGGTTCGCTGGCCCGCGTCTCCCTCTCACCTGAACGGCCGCTCGCCGGTGTGGGTCCGCCGGTGCTCGGCGAGCCTGGAAGACTGGGCGAACCCCTTACCGCAGACATTGCACCGGTGGGCCTTGCCCGTCGGCCGGGGGGCGCAGCGGTGCACCAGGAAGGATGAGAGGCGGCGGAAGACCTTGCTGCACACGCTGCACTGGCACGGCTTCTCCTGGGCGGTGGGGCACCGGGGGCACGGCTGGCTGCTGCCTGGGGGGCACTGGCAGCGGGGGCCGGCCTCCCCCGGCGGGCACCGGTGGTCGAAGAAGTCGGATGCCCTGCGGAAGGAGCCGCGGCAGACAGAGCACCGGAAGAGGCGGTCCCCGGCCTGGCACTGCCGCTGGCCCTCCGGCTCCGGTTCCGTAGGGAAGCTCGGTGGCCACTGGGGGCAGTGGTGGGTGTCATCGTCGCCGGCGTCTTGGTGTTCCTCTGGATCCTGGGCCCCAGGTTTCTGGTCGGGACCTGCCCAGGGCGGGTCGGAGGGTGACGCGGGGCCCTCGTCCCCCGGCAAAGGCGAGGGTGGGGAGCCTGGCGCCGCGCTGTCATCCTTCGCCTCCTCCCGGCTGGCTGTCTGAGTCGGTGACTCCCTTTCGATCTGCTCCACCTTCCTGAGGGGAGAGAGGGGGCCGAGAAATAAAGAACGACGTTCAGACAAGGGACCGCTCGCTGACCGGTACTAACCCCTACCAGCCTTCCCGAATTGGAGCTGTACTGGGACAGGAGGCCATTCAGCGCCCCCCTCCTCCTCCAGCCAGTTACACAGGAAACAGCCAGAGGCCTTATTGAGCACCCCACGCTTCTTCAGGCCTGGTGGCCATCCATCTAACGCAGCTGGACGTAGACAATAGGTCTTGCCCTGGGTATATTTATCTACTACGTCATGGGTGGCACAGAGGTGGAGATTTATCACACCCACACTAGGAAGGGTCAGATTCTCCTCCCCACACACACCCCCTCAACAGACCTGGAAAGGGGTAATTGTTTTACACTCCCTCAAACCCCTTTTCCCACCCACGGGGCTCCCATACAACTGGAAGGGTATATTTAGCTCAATGACACCCTTGTACGCCCTTCACCTTATCCCAAAGGGGAACGTTTTGCACCTGAAGGGGGTATTTATCATTCATACTCAAGACACTTCTAACCCTTGCTCCTGAAGGTGGGGGGCTCTTTATCTCACACACTCGGACCTACTGAAACCCCTCAACCCCTGGGGTCACTCTCTTGTCCCTGAAGGTGGTATTTATCTCAATCACACCCTCCAGTCCATCCCAGAGTGGGGAACGCCTTGCCCCTTAAGTGGGAATTTATCACTCATGCTCAGGCACTCCTAGCCCAGTGGGTCACTCGTGCCCCTGAAGGGGTCTCTATCTCACACAGCCAGACCCTATTAACAACCCCACCCCTGCGATCACCCCCTTTACCCCAAAGGGGGCATACATCTCACTCACAATCAAGACCCTCCTAACTCACAACCTGATGGTTCCCCCTGGCCCTGAAGGTGGGGGGGAGGGGGAGGGGGAGGGGGAGGGGTTATTGATCTCACACTCAGACCATAGTAACCCACCCCCACCCCTGGGGTCACCTCCTACGCCCCTGAAGGGGGCATTTATCTCACTCACCATGACCCTCCTAACCCGCAACCTAGTGGCTCCCCCTGGCCCTCAAGGGGGAGGGGGAGGGGTGGGGTATCGTTCTCACACTCTGTCCATACGAGCCCACCCCTGGGGTCACCCCGCCTTTGCCCCCCAAAGGGGGCATTTACCTCACTCGCAATCCAGACCCTCTTAACCCACGTCCTTGCCCCTGAAGGGGGAGGGAGCATCTATCTCGCGCGCGCACACACATACCCCGCCCCCCCCTTGCCCCCGAAGAGGGTATTTATATCACTCACACTCTGGGCAAGGCCTCCCAGGCCCAGGCCTCGGCCTCCACTCGATGCATCCGCCCTGGCCCTCTGCAATGGTGAGGTTGCACGTTGTCTGGTTTTGCAACGGGGAGCCGGGGTTTAGTTTTGCGCTCAGGACCCTCACGCTGCAGGACCCAGTCTCTCCGGGGCCTCCTTTTTTTTGCTCAAACAGCGGCTCCCGGGCCCTGCGGCCGCGAGGCTCCAGCAGGGGGAGGGGGAGGGATGTGGCCCGCGCATGCGCCGCATCGCGCCCCGCTACCCGAGATAGACCACATTCGCCGCCGCGGGGCAGCCTGGGAAAGCGAGCCCGCCATCGACGCCCCGCCCCGTGCCCCGCCCACCGCGGCGGGTGGCTGCCGCTTTCCCATTTGTGGGGGCGGGGCGGTCCCACTGTCGTGACCCTTGGTCCCCTGTGGGGAGAGAGCGCGGGAGAAACCCACACCATGAATTAACGCCACCTCCCGCCCCCCCAAACTTATTCGGTCACAGGATGAGGGCGTAGCTGACAGGTCTCGCATTTATTGCCCCATCCCTAATCGCCCATTGGGCAGTTAAGTGTCAACCACACTGCAGTGGGTCTGGAGTCACCTGTAGGCCAGGTAAGGAGAGCAGTTTCCTTCCCTAAAGGGACATTAGTGAACCAGTTGTGTTTTTCCCGTCGATGGGTTCATGCTCATCACTAGAGTCTTAATTCCAGGTATTTTTATTGAATCCAAATCCCACCATCTGCCATAATGGGAATCGAATCCAGGTCCCCAGAACGTTACCTGGGTCACTGGATTAACAGCGCAGTGATAATGCCACTGGGCCGTCGCCTCCCTCCCTCTTGTCACTGGTGGATGAGGCCAGAATGACCCGGTCTCTCTTTTCTCTTTCTCGGGAAGGGAGAGGAACCCACGTACTAGAGACTGGTCCCTCCCTTTCGGGGAGGGGACGCCCAATTTATGACCCAGACACTGTCCCTCACGTCCCCCCCCCCACCCCGTCACCATGCGGACATGTTGGGGATAGGGAGATACTCCATTGGGGGAGTGGCAGGGATGAAACAGGCACGCTCTTGGGTTGCATACACACCCATTCTGAGGGGGACATAATCATCTTTTGGGCGGGACACCCACCCCCCACCATTTTTGAAGGGGACACCTCTAATGGGGTGGGAAACCCTCATGATGACGTGGAGGGGAGGGGAGACCTCAATAGAGACATGGTCACTCCCATCGAGGGATGTGCACCTCCAGTAGTGAGGTGAGCATCCTCTTCGAGGGCCATGGGGGACACACATATCGGAACTAAGATAGACCCCGCCCAACCCCAGGAGACATGGACCTGCCTTCTGGGAGACAAAGACCTGACCATTGGACGACTGAAATCTTACGGCACTAAAGGAGGCCATTCTGCCCGTTTTATCTGCACCGATTCTTCAAATGAGCATCACTGCCTTGTGTCAATCTCCTTCCCTCCTCCCCCCGCCATCTCCCTTATCCTTGCACACACCATTTCTATCCAAATAACTATCCAATACCCCTCTTGAATGTCTCAATTGAACTTGCCTCAACACATTTCCAGGCAGTGCATTCCAGACCCTAACTACTCACTGCGTGAATTTTTTTTCTCTCTCATCACCCTTGCTTTGTTTGCACATCACTTTCAATCTTTTGTCTCGATCCTCTTACAAATGGGAACAGCTTCTCCCCTCTACTCTGTCCAGCCCTCGTGTATGATTTTGAAAACCTCTATCAGATCTCCTTCTCAGCCTTCTTCTGTCCGAGTGTGAACAGTCCCAACTTCTTCAATCTCTCCTGGAAATGTTCTTGTGAACCGCTTATGCATTCTCTCCTTCTTCAATGTGTTCACATCTTTCCTATAATGCGGTGCCCAGCAACGTACACACCCGTCCAGGTGAGGTCTAACAAGTGTCTTGTACATATTCAACATTACCTCCTTGCTCTTAACTTCTACGCCCCTGTTAATAAAGATGAGAATGCTGTACGTTTTATTAACTGCTCTCTCCCTCTTGTCCTGCCATCTTCAATTATCTTTACACACCGAGGTCCTTCTGTTCCTGCATCTCCTTTAGAATCGTAGCCCCCGTTTTCTTTATTATATTTCAATGTTCTTCCCATCCAAATGCATCATTTCACACCTCTCTGCATTGAATTGCATCTGGCACCTCTCCACCACTTCAACAACTCATCAATATCCTTTTGAAGTCCCATGCACAGTTCCAGATCATTGATATACATTGGAAAAAGCAAGGGTCCCAATACTAACCCTTGGAGAGCTCCAGCTTGAAAAGTACCCACTGAATATTACTCTGTCTCCTAACACTCAGCTAATTTTATATCCACTCCTATCCCTTTTATACCATGATCTTTATCTTTCTGCACAAGTCTATTGTGTGGCACTTAATTGATCACCTTCTGGAGATCCATGTATAGCACCTTCATCAGCATTACCCTCATTGAACTTTTCTGTTATCTCTTCAAAATACTCCAGAATATGAGTTTGACACAATTTCTCCTTTAGAAGTCCATGCTGACTCTTCCTAATCAACAGTTCATCTGTAATCTTCTAAGTAACTGCCATTTCTGTCCGAAATAATTGCCTCTGGAAGCTTCCCCACCATTGAAGTTAAACTGACTGGCATGTAATTGCTGGAATTATCCGCACAATCCTTCTTGAATAAGGTTGTAATGTTTGCAATTCTCCAGTCTTTTGGCACATCTCCCGAATCCAGGAAAGACTGAAAAACAGTGATCTGTGGCCCCACAATTTCTACCCTCATTTCTCTCAAAATCCATGGATGCATCTCATTCGGTCTGGTGCCTTAAGTGCCAGCAGTCCATCAAATAGTTCTGGCCTACTGATTTTGAACCCTTCTATTGACTGAGTTCCTCCCTCTGTACCACAGCCTGTGAGGCACCTGCCTGTTTTGTAAAAGCAGATGCTAAAAGTATTCAATAAAAACTGGAAGAATTATGGATGCTATGAAACAGAAACAAAAACAGAAATTGCTGGAAATGCTCAGCGGATCTGGCAGCATCTGTGGAGGGAAACCAGAGTTAATATTTCGGGTCAAGGGACCCTTCCTCTGAATTTCTGTTTTTGTTGCTATAAGTATTCATTTAACATTGCAGGTATGCCCCTTAGCTCCGGGTGTAAATCCTCGTTTCGGTCTCTGTTATCAGACTTTTAAAAAGACCTCTCAAACGTTAATTCTGATCTCTCTCTCTTGCACATTCTCTGTGGCTGTAACACTGCATTCTGCAGACTATTCTGCCACCGTGATGCATTTTGTGTGGTACAATCTGCCTGTATAGCACGCATAACAACACTTTTCACTGTGTCTTGGTACATGCAACAACAATAAATCAAATTCAAGACTAATCTGTCCTACTCCTCTTTACATCGCCCTTTTTATTATTTATGTGCCTGTAGAAGACTTTAGGACACCCGTTTATGTTGGCTGTTAATCTTTTCTCATAATTTCTTTTAGCTTTTCTTATTTTCTTTCTCTCCTCCCTTCTCTGAACCTCCTGAATTTTTCTTCATTCTCAATTGTATTGCCTATTGGACACCAGTCAAAAGCACACTTTTTAAAAATTCTGTATCTTAATGTCAATCTTCCTTGTCATCCAGGCAGCTCAAAATTTGTTTGTCCTCCCTCTACTTTTGCAGGAACCACCTCCTCTTTGTAGGTAGCCCATAGACTCTCCTGCCCAGCCTCCAATCGAGCCCCATGGAAATCAATTTCTTTCTCTCACTCTGCATTTTCAGATGATCGATCTCTGTCTCCTATAAGTGCACGCCCCCCCCTCCCCACCCCCGAACTCTCCCACTATCACTTGATCCACTTGGTCCATTTCGTGGGCTAGGTCTAGCAGTGCCTCTTTTCCTGATAAACTGAAAACTCTCCTGAACATAATCCCTGAATGCTTGCCCCTCAAAATCCTTCACACTACAGGTATCTGAAATCCCTCATTCTAACTGCTCTGTAATGCTAACATTTCTCTATAATTCCCTGCTCAGCAATCTCCTTCTGAGAAGGTCGTTCTGCTGAAAGTGGGAATGCAGTGAAGGTTTACCAGACTGATACCTGGGCTGGCAGGACCGATGTATGAAGAGAGGCTTGATTGATTAGGATTATATTAACTGCAGTTTAGAAGAATGGGGGATGGCTGATCTCAGAGAGACCTGTAAAATTCTAACAGGATTAGGCAAGGTGTTTCAGGTAGTGCGGCAGTTGAGAACCACGAGCTTGTAGTAGAAGGATATAGGGTGGGCCATTTAGCACTGAGACGACGAGAAACGTTTTCTCTCAGAAAGACAGAAAACTGTCAAGTCCAAAATATTTGACGTTTTCAATGAGTTAGAAGTTAGGAGTTACAGTCCTTGGTGCTAAAGACAGAAATCAGGGAACAGAGGACTGAGTTGAATGATCAGCCATGGACGGAGCAGAATCTTAGTCTGAATGTCCTCCTTCTGCTCCTATTTTCTATGTTTCTGCAGTTCTACATCCTGCTGAACCTGTTTTGCAGCATTTTTATACCACACAGAAGGTTGTGTCAGGTAATGTGCGGCTGTCTATGCCAAAACAGGGAGGGGTGACTTCCCTCTGGAGATAAGCAGGCCATTATCCATGGTTTGAAAACGTGGATTAGGAGCGGGCGGGAGGTGACACTCAAGCCCTTGAGCATGTTCTGCCATTCAACGTGATTGTGGCAGCGCCCCCACTGGCCTGGAGAGCTCCTTGGAAGACTTCATTCATCTATGCAGCGCCACCACTGTCATGGAGGTCAATTTGGAGTACTTCAGCCGAGCTCTGCAGCGCCACCACAGGCCTGGAAGACTCTCTGGGAGGACTCCACCTGAACTCTGCAGCGCCACACCGCTTGGAGGACTCCTTGGGAGGACTCCGCTTCTGCTCCGTCGCACCACACGTCTGGAGGACACTTTGGAGGACTATTGCAGGACCTCTGCAGCGCCACCAACTGCTTTGGAGGTCTGAGACAACAAGGTGGAGAGCTGGATGAAC